CTCTGTGTATTTATAGGAAAATTTATTAAATATAAATCCCAGAGACTAGACAGAAACCAAGGCCCTGAGCCCAGGGCAGCTATGCTGGGTGAACTCTTCTAGGAGCTGCCTTGCCACTCATCCTTCCATCCTTCCCCAGTTCTTAACTTTGAGCCATAAAGAGTACCAGGTCTGGGTGAAAGGGATACTTTTATGCAACCATAAGACAAAATCCTGAAATGCCAAATGCCTGCTTAGTAGCTTTGGAAAGGTGCCCTTACTGAACATTCTAGAAGGGATGGCCAGGTCTTCAAGGGTCTCCTGTTCTTTTCAGGCTCCTAATGTAACATCAGCCATTTTTAGATTGGCTCTGTTCTCATACCTTCCCAGTGGCTTCAAGTGAGCCAACAAACTGACACTGCGTGCCCTTTGTCTTCCCCTAATTCTGCAGGTGGAGGTTGGTGGTCTAGTTTCCTTTTTGAGATACTGTTTTCATTTTTGAGACTCTTTGTAATAAAATGGTACATTTCTATACAAAAAAAATTAAATTAACTATTTAGACCCCATGTCTCCCCACTGCCTGTCATAGTGGAAAGATGTCTTTTCTCTTGTTGAAAACTTTACTCATCTGTTTGCTGGATTTGGTTATCTACCTTCCTTTTCAGTATCTCACCCCTTCAAAAAGACTCTCTCTTCTGTAACCAACTGAACCTTGTCTCTACTGACTCCTTTTCCTCAGCTTTTATACATACTTGAATCTTGAATCTCCTCCACTAAAAAAGGCATCCTTCAACCCGGCAATCCCCTTTCAGTGCTGCCATCTTGCTCCTCCTTTGTAGTGAGCCCTTTTGAAGAGTATCTACATTTAAACCATCACCCATTCCTCACCAATCCATTTACCTTCTGGTTCCTAACGCCACCACTCCACTGAAACTTCCCCCAGCAAAGTCCCCCATCTCTATTGCTAAACACACGGGTTACTTATTTAGGTATCACCTTATTTGACCATGTGGCCATATTTGACAGGACAGCAGTTTCTCCTCTTCGAAGAACTCTTTCGTTGCCTTCCACGTCATGCTCTGCGGGTTTTTCTTTTTGGATTTCTTTTCTTTCTAACCTTTAAGTACTAGTGTTCCTTGAGGCTGTACTCTGAGACCTCTTCTATTTATTCTTAACACTATTCATTCTTCCTGGAGAATTCCACCCACCCCACAGCTTTTATACAGCATCCTCTGTAGGCTAAGGATTCCTGAGTCTCAATCCCTAGCCCAGATTTCTCTTGAGCCTCAGAGTAAAGTATCAGAGTAATTACAGTACATGTTTATTGAGATATCCCATAGTGCCTCAAACTCAGCTTAAGCTGTCTAAAACCGGGCTCCATCTTTCTCCATCCATTCTTCCCTCTGTGCGTTTGATATCTCAGTGAATGATACCAACCTCTCAATTCAGTTGTCTGAATAAGAAATTTGGGCATTGTCTTCAATTTCTTCTTCTTTTCATCTCTCCCCCATATCCAGTCATGTAGATATATAGATATCCATCCTTCATAATCATGAATTGTGATTATGAAGTTCCATAAAACTGCATAAATCATTAAGTTTTGTTCATTTTTACCTGCAAAATATTGAAAATGTCTTTTGTTTCCCTATTGCCACTGCGTACCTTTAAATTGGAGTGTCATCATCTCTCTCCTAGATTTAGCTGAAGCCTCTTACATGATTTATGTGCCTCTAATCTTGAACCCCTCTAACTTCTCCCTACATACTGGCCAGAGAGACTTTTCAAAATCATACCATTGAGAGATAACCATTACATGCTGGTTTTGCCTGAGGGCCTCTTTACACCTGCATTTTCTCTCCTGGTTCTTTGTCTTCCTTCCACTTCCTTTTTGCATGATTAACCCGTATTTATTCTACCTGAATCTAACTTTTTACTTACTTAGTATTCTACTATTTATTAATCTTATTCCACTTGTTATTATTTTCAAACTTGTAATCTTAAATTTGAGAATATCAATAAGGACTTAAATTGATTTGAGGAACTAGAAGTATTTTGTGTCTAGCTCATGTTTGTTATTTTTCTTTTTTGTCTTTCTCATTCATTATCATAACAACAAATGTCCAAAGAACTCCCATTAAAAAGTAATGTGTTAATAAAAGGACAGTCAGATTCCTTTGTTTGTACTGATACGTGTGTGGAGGGGTAGGATTTGTTATGGATTTACTTTATATATGCTTAAAGACTTTTAAGCATCAGCTGAGCTACTACTTCCATATGCCTTCCTTACTTCCTCTGCTTGTGCAGCTGTAGAATTGAATCAATAAAGGTGTCAAGGAGTAGATGGCTGGATTGGAGCTTGATCAGTGTGGGAGGAACTGTGTGTACTGTATAACTGCCCTTAAGTAGTTCAATATGTTCTCTGAGGGTTTTCTATGTATTCACCTTCCAACCTAGGAAATTCTGCCAACAACAAAATTTTATTTCTACAGATGCTGGTGCCTGACTCTTGCTCAGGCTTCTGTCAGACATAATGTTTGAGAGGGGAGAGGGAAGGAACAGGAAAGGCCTTAGTATTTTGAGAAATTGTGTGGCAACTTTTGCATCTCTGCTTTGCCCATTTTTTTTTCCTCCTGATGTTCACCCACGCCAACACTTTTCCCTTATTGATGAATATCACTAAAGACACATGGTAGAATTATTTGTAGTAAGTCTCTAGTTTTATTTGAAGTAGTTGAATAAGGCACTTAAATTACCATTGCCCAAAGTGGTGAAAAGAAATCAAGTTAGTGATAATTTTTTAAGAGTTACGTCTGCGTAATAGTATTTTTTAAATATATGAATTCTCTAGAAAGTTTAATTTAAAAATGTATCATGTGGCTGGGCATGGTGGCTCATGCCTATAATCCCAGCACTTTGGGAAGCGGAGGCAAGCAGATCACTTGAGCCCAGGAGTTCCAGCCTGGGCAACATAGTGAGACCCTGTCTTTAAAAAAAAAAAAAAAAATCATGTGATGATGACCTCTGGAAAATCCTCCAATTCAGCACAGCAATACTGTTAGAGATTTCGGTTGTTAGAGATCTGCCCTGGATTTCTTATTTTCTAGTGATTAGCTTTAGGTAGATATTAATAAATGAGGAGAAGGTACCTGGGCAGTCAAGAAATTAGCCTTCAAAAGGTATATATATGGGAAGTTATTTTTCTAATTAGTGGAATATTGGCAAGTAAAGTTTAAAGATGGAGAAAGTACTTTACAGGACTTGGAAAAAGCAATTAATATATCAGCACCTAGAATGAAAACCTAAAATTCTGTAGTAATAAAAAGTGAACAATCTTTCTAAATTAATACAGAATTATTCAAATAAGTTTCTTCCAGTTCCCCATTGCCTGACCATGAGTACTCTACTAGATTGCTTTTTTTTTTGGTGGTGGTGGTGGTAAAAAACACCTAACATATATTTACCCTCTTAACAACTTATAAGTGTGTATTACAGCATCGTTAACTATGTGTACATTGTTGTACAACAGATCTCCAGAACTTTTTCATATTGTGTGACTAAAACTCTGTACTCGTTAAACAAATCCCCGTTTCCCCCTCATCAGCCCCAGCAATCACCATTCTGTTATACTTTATGTTTCTGTGAGCTTAACTACTTTAGATAATCCGTGTAAGTAGAATCATGCAGTATTTGTCTTTCTGTGATTGGCTTATTTCACTTAACATAATGTCCTCAAGGTTCATCCATGTTGTAACATGTAACAAGATTTTTTTTAAGGCTGAATAATATTTCTTTGTATTTATGTACCACATTTTCTTTATCAATTCATTTGTCAATGTACATTTAGGTTACTTCCACATCTTGGCTTTTGTGACTAATGCTGCAGTGCATATAAGTTTCTGAATATCTCTTTGATATTCTGCTTTCGTTTTTTTTGGATAAATACCCAGAAGTGGGATTACTGGATCATATGGTAGTTCTATTTTTAATTTTTTGAGGAACCTCTGTACTGCTTTCCGTAGCAGCTGCACCGTTTTACATTTCTGCCAGCAGTTCACAGGGGTTTCAATTTCTCCACATGCTCACCAACACTTGTTGTTTCCTGTTTTTTTGACAGTGGCCATCCTAATGAGTATAAGGTGATAGCTCACTATGGTTTTGAGTTCCCTGATGACTAATGATGTTGAGTATCTTTTCACACAGCAAGCATGCTTTTTGACCACTTACGTATCTTTTTTGGAGAAATATCTATTAATTACTTCGCCCATTTTTTATTGAGGTTATTTGTTTTTATGTTATTGAGTTGCAGGCATTCTTTACATATTCTGAATATTTACTCCTTATCCAGTATATGTTTTGCCAATATTTTTCCCATTCTCTAGCTTGCCCCCTACAAGGTTGCCTTTTAACAGCCCAGGACTGTCTGTTATTGTCACAGCCTTAGCTTAAATCTGACTCTGGTAATTCACATCAACCCCAGCTTGATTCTTACCTAATTCCTAACGCTAGACTTAAATTTTGACTGCCTTCCCTTTCCACATTGTCTTAGCTATCTTTATTGATAGCTTTACTGCTAACCCTGATTTTCATTCCCCATGACCTCTTCTTTGCTAATATTTTAATAAGTGATGATTTTAAAATAAGGCATATGTTTGGCATAAACCAGGAAAAAATTATAATCTCCATATTAATCTTAAATGTAAAAATTTAAAGCAGAAGTTAAAATCTGCTTTATAAGAAGTAAGTTCTTATGTTAAAATAACCAAATTTGAAAATATTCCCTTTGAAGGAATAAAAGAGGCATGGTGTTTTGAATCAATACATTTGGTGAGTGTGTAGGAAGACAGTCATAGTTGTTGTGTGTGTCCCAAAGTCTTACACCTCTTTTTGACCCACTAATCAAACTAGAAATGTCACATGGAACTTGTTGAGTGAACCAGTAATTTTACATTTGTTAAAATAGAGTTATAGTAAGTGGCTGAATGTTCTGATTGACCACACATAATGTAGAGTTTATTTCCTAGCAAATAATGAAAGATCGATGGATGAATGTTGGTCATGAAGAAGAAGAACTAAAGCCATATACTGAGCCTGATCCAGATTTCAATGACACAAAAAGAATAGGTAAGTATTTAAACATGGTAAGAAGTACTGTCCCTAGGCAGCAAGTAAGAGTTCTTTAGTGTACCAAAATAGTGTTTAAAAGTATAAATAGGAAGCAATTTTTATTTGAAAAATACTTGCATTATCATTTTAATGATAATACACTAAAAATTATACATTTCAAGTTCCCTAATTTGTTCTCATATATATTATGGTCTAATTCAATGTTTGACAATGATGATATAAAACTTAATGTAAATAAATTGAATTCTTTACTTTCAGTTATGCCCAGCAGGAGGAATGGCTGATATGACTATCAGCACTGATCAGACTGATAAGTATCAGCGAACATAGCATGTATTTTAACCAAAGATACGGAGGCACTGAATTAAGAGTTGAACACTTTGGCTCTCCCTTTCTTTTTCTACTGTCTTAGCAATGTTTATTCTCCCTCGTCACTCATCCTGCTACTGCCCATACCCAGCCAGAGCTGTCCTTCTAACTTGTTCTTTTCATTTCGCAGTCCCTTCCCAAAGCCATCATTTAGTCTCAACTGAGTCATCTCAACTGTGTTCCTATTTGACTTGAGGGCAGAGTGGCAGGGGAGAGCATTTTAGGGTATTAGGAACCTGATCAGAAAAACCATGGAAATTCAGATCTCCCAAAGAAGAGTCACCCTACTGCAAATCAGAAAGCAGAAATTGTTAAGAGACGAAAGAAACCACTGCACGAGTAGCTGAGGATGAGTTGAGAGAAAGAGAATTTTGCGTGTAACAAAGACTGACATGGTCTTAGACTGGACAAAGAAAGTTAGCTCAGGAATGTATGAGGCAATGAGAAATTAAGTGGGCCCGTTAATATATTACCCATGATGTAGATAATTTCTGCATGTAAAAGTATCATTGTACAATATCTGTGAAAATATGGTATCCATAGGTTAATAGTCCAGAAGTTTTTTAAACTACACTAAATTTTCATGACTAAGTTTTCATATTCAAAGTTGGCAGACTTGCCCGTGTTTGTTGATTTGTTTATGAAAATAAAACCATTTTCAGAAAATTTCTCTTTTTTAAATTTCTAGACATTATGGTCACCATGGGCTTTGCACGAGATGAAATAAATGATGCCTTAATAAAGCAGAAGTATGATGAAGTTATGGCTACTTATATTCTTCTAGGTAGAAAACCACCTGAAGTAAGTTTTTCACCTTTTGAAATTACTGTGAATTATTTTTTGAGCTTATATATTAGTAAATATATTCTTTGTGGAATCAAAAATAATATAAAGATCCTACTCTAACATTCTTATTTGTTGAAACTCAAAAATCACGATGTTAAATTACAAACTGGTTTTATTTCTGGGTACCAAGACAGATTTTATGAAAGAATAGGCGTACTGTCTTTCTTAGCTCCAGGAGCCACCATTCACAGCCTGGCCTTTGAGAATGGCCTCCCCCACAACTTGTGCATCCAAATGTAACAGTCCCACCAAAGGTAATATGGTTATTCCAGGTGTGCAGAAAAGACAGTGACTGAAAAGTGAGGAAGTGATAGCATTTAAAATAAAATGTATGTCTTAAAGGATTGTTAAAAGAGGTAACTCCAGGAAAGGTTATGTGATGACATTTTGCCTTTTAAAGTGTCAAGTGACTGATGCTTTCAGTTGGGAATTCTCAAGGCCAGGAGAACTATAATAAGGAGATATACTCAGAAAATAACTGTATACAAATGGTGAACTATGTTAGTCAGTTTTGCATTGCTATAAAGAAGTACCTGAGACTGGGTAATTTATAAAGAAAAGAAGCTTATTTGACTCACAGTACTGCAGGCTGTACACAAAGCATAGTGTTGGCATCTGCTTCTGATAAGAGCCTCAGGAAGCTTACAGACATGATGGAAGGTGAGGGGGAGCCAGCGTGTCACATGGCAAGAGGGAGCAGGTGAGAGGTGGGGGAGGTGCCACGCTCTTTTAAATAACCAGATCTAGCGTGAACACAAAGAGGGAGAGCTTGTTACCATGAGGACAGCACCAGGCCATTCATGAAGGGTCCACCTTCTTGACTCAAATACCTCCCTCTAGGCCCACTCCAACATTGGAGGTCACACTTCAACATGAGATTTGGAGGGGACAGAGCGTCCAAACCGTATCATGAAGCATAAAAGCAAATGATTCTTTAGCAAAACAAATATAAAGGCTATACATGGAGAGTCAAGAACAGATTGCAGGACATTAACAATTTATTGGAAATTAGACATCTGTGGGAGGTATTTTAGAGACAAAAAGCTGAAATTATTTATAATTCCGTAGTAACTGTTAATGGAGCAGTGCATTCCAGCTGGCATATATTGAACCTTTATTGTACCAGAAACGATGCTGGGTACTGTGAATAGAAAGACGAGAAAGTCTCTGCTCTCAAGGAGCCCTTGGTCTAGAGGTGAGGCGAGCAGTTAATAGTATGGTACAGTATGTGTTCTCATTTGGGGGATGCACAGCATACTCTGGGAGCATATAGGTGGACATGTACCTACAGTAGGCTAAGGTCAGACCCACCAAGGCAGGTCTGTGTGACATGTAAGAAGTAGAATTAACAGTAGTACTTGGGGACCAGTTAGAAATAAGAGATAAGAGCCCATGAGATTTCCAACATGGATGACTGTGCAAGCACATTTGCCAAGATAGGAAAGGTACAGATTTCAGGGGGAAGACAAGAAGTTCAATTTGGGATGGTTAAATTTGAGATTCTGTTGGATGGAGCTGTCTATTAGGCATTTGGATATATAGATCTGAATTAGGGGGAGAGATTTGAATAATTAACAGATTTGGAGTCTTCATTAGAGGGGAACACATTGCACATAGTAATGTGCCAGGGACTGTTCTAAGGACTTTACAAATATTAATTAATCTAATCCTCCCAGTGAACCTACCAGGTGGGTACTATTATGGAAGAGAATCTTTAGTGGAGACATTAACAGCTAGAGATGTGGTATCAAAGAAGCCAAGTCAAGAGAATTTTAAGTGGGAAATAGTACAAATGGTTATTTCTAAAGGCTTTGAACTGTTTCTACTTAGATTTTAAAGTACACTCCTGAGGTCTTTAATTTTCCTGTTAATTTAAATATAAAAGAAGCACTAATTTTATAAGTATATAACCGTACCATGCATGAATTTAAATGAAGTGTGAATTGTATCAAATATAAATGGATGAGGCTACTGGTAAGTAGTAAGAGTCTGAACTTTGGAGCCAGCTTCACTGGATCTAAGTCCCCCCGACCCCTGCCCTGTCCCAGCACAACCACTAACTGTGCAACTAAGGCAATTAATTTTCTGTGCCTCAGTTTTCTTATCTATAAAATGAGGGCAATAATAGTGCTTATCTTTTAGGATCATTGAAAGTGTTAAATGAATGAGCACTTATAAACTCGGAACAGTTTCTAGTGGATTATTATGGGCTTAAAAACTCGGAACAGTTTCTAGCGGATTATGTGCTCTGCATTAGCTGTTTATCATCATCAGTATTACTCTGCGATTTATCACTAGTATTATCTGTATATGAATTTAGATTTCCTATTGGGATGCCAGTGAGGCCATCAAAAGTTTGCTGGCAGCAAACAACTTGTATGTTACAAAGAGAGGGATAGTGTGTCAACCCGCAGTTTACCATGCTGAGTTCTAAGTAGATACGGTTTCCTGATCAGAAACAGTAAACTGTATTTTTTCTTTTTTTTGCAAATGTGGAGAAAACAAAACAAACAAATCTATATATATGTTTATATGCATACATATGTGTATATACATGTGTGTATATTTAAAATTTTAGATTTTATTTTAAGTTTGAATCTCAATAATGCCCCTTAACTTTTTTAACCTCAGTTTTTCCATCTGTAAAGTGTAGGTTAATACATCATAGGTTTGTTGTGATGATTAAATAAAGTAACATATAGAAAGAGCTTAGCACAGTGCCTAGTCTATAATAACCATTCAATAATTGGTAGCTGTTCTTTGGTATTTTGACTAAACTAAGGATTTGTACAAGATAATAGAAGATTATGAGTAGTCACTAAAGCATATTCTATCCAGTTCACTCCTTTTTCTGCTTGCCAACTTAAAGTTCTAGGCCCAATACTACACTGTTTTTTCAGTTTGGATTACTTCTTATATAGCTTTAAATCATTTAGAAAATCAAAAGTGCAGTATTTGTGCAAACTTTTTTTTTTTTTTTTTTTTTGCTTTAAAATCCTTGTGGTTTTTCTTCTTATAGTTTGAAGGTGGTGAATCATTATCCAGTGGAAACTTGTGTCAGAGGTCCCGGCCCAGTAGTGACTTAAACAACAGCACTCTTCAGTCCCCTGCTCACCTGAAGGTCCAGAGAAGTATCTCAGCAAATCAGAAGCAGCGGCGTTTCAGTGATCATGGTAGGGGAAAAAGTTAAATAAGTGAAACAACGCACGGGTTCTACCTAAACTTGTGTTTTTAAAGCATTGTACATTCACGTCTCTATGTACTTGTGTCATCTAGTTCTCACAGACTTATATTACTGAATTATAAATATAATCCCTTTTACAGGGACTGACCTGATTTTTGAAATCACAATTTAATCTTCGTTCAGAGTTTAAAGCATGCAAATGTGGATAATTTTAATACAGAGTTTTTGTTTGTGAGCAGAAAATAAATCAGTTGTTTTTCAGCTCATTATGCTATTTTTTTTCTTTTTTTTTAATTATAGCTGGTCCATCCATTCCTCCTGCTGTATCATATACCAAAAGAGCTCAGGCTAACAGTGTGGAAAGTGAACAGAAAGAAGAGTGGGACAAAGATGTGGCTCGAAAACTTGGCAGCACAACAGTTGGATCAAAAAGCGAGATGACTGCAAGCCCTCTTGTAGGGCCAGAGAGGAAAAAATCTTCAACTATTCCAAGTGTGAGTAAATATTCTGGTATATTGCAATTTATTGTAATAACTTGTTTCAGGGTTATGTGTAAAATTTTTATCTTTCATTTTTTTAATGATTGAAAATTTTAAAGGGAATTATACTTTAAAGAACATGTAAAAGGGACCACACTTCTCATAAATGCAAGTTAAAAACAACAAAAAAGAATTCGTTTTTGCATGTATAACACTTAACACAAAATGGTACATTAAACTTTCCCGCTTCATTTTCCTTTTTATAATGTTTATTTAATATCATATTGGCACATTTCATTTTTATTTACAAATAAGCCGTTTAATGAAGGCAGACTCAGGTAATAATTAATTTATAAAGTTGCCTCACGTTATTCACTTAAAAACAGCAAACCATAGAAATTATATAATGGGAACTAGAAGGGGGTTTGAAATGTTCTCCCATAAGGCAGCAGGGAAGAATAGAGATAGAACATATAAAAGAAAACTAAGATATATGAAAGGTAGAAATAGAATTGGTAACATTCAGATAATAGGTGTTTTGAAAGGAAAGGGAGCAAAATGAAGGAAGAGAAATAGTTAAAGAAATAATAACAAAAAATAAAGAGGGAAGATTTCATTTTGAAAGGACCGAGAATCGCAAATAGAAGCCAGAAAGAAAATCTATTCCTGGACTCTTGAAGTGGAATTTATAGATACCGAAAACAAGGTGAAGAATATTTTAAAGATTCCAGAGTCAGAGCGAAGAAAACCTTAAAACAAATAAGATTCTGTAGTCCCAGCTACTCAGGAGGCTGAGGCAGGAGAATAGCATGAACCTGGGAGGTGGAGCTTGCAGTGAGCTGAGATCATGCCACTGCACTGCAGCCTGGGCAACAGAGCGAGACTCCGTTTCAAAAAATAATAATAATAAAAAAAAAAAAAACAAGGAACAAGATTCAGATTGACCTTAGGTTTCTCAACAGCAACATGGATACAGTAAAGTAAAGGGGAAAATATTTTTAAAGTATTTAAAGAAAAGCACATTGAGCCTAGAAATTTTATCTAGCCGTGTTGACATTTAAATATGAAGGTACAAAAACCATGCATGTTCTTTGGCATAAAATGTCTCAACTGTTTGACTACACAGTGACCATTTGAAAACACGTTAGTTGGGGCCGGGCGCGGTGGCTCAAGCCTGTAATCCCAGCACTTTGGGAGGCCGAGACGGGCGGATCACGAGGTCAGCAGATCGAGACCATCCTGGCTAACCCGGTGAAACCCCGTCTCTACTAAAAAATACAAAAAAACTAGCCGGGCAAGGTGGCGGGCGCCTGTAGTCCCAGCTACTCGGGAGGCTGAGGCAGGAGAATGGCGTAAACCCGGGAGGCGGAGCTTGCAGTGAGCTGAGATCCGGCCACTGCATTCCAGCCTGGGCGACAGAGCGAGACTCCGTCTCAAAAAAAAAAAAAAAAAAAGAAAGAAAACACGTTAGTTGGAGGACGTATTCTTACAGGAAGAGAAATGAATCTAGAATGTTGCTGTAAAATATATAGGAGTTGAAAGTAGTCAACTTACTGAAGTATTGTATGTAGTAACATAAGCAAAAAGAGGAAAATAATGAAAATTCAGAATCAAAACTCTGGATAGTATCCAGGGCATAAGGATAGATGTGGAGATAACTACTTTAAGAATTGATTGATATAACCGCTTAGCTTCCACCTGATCTGTTTAGAAATGATTGAACTATAATGGGACTTATATTTGCCTTAGAGGACAGTTTCCAGTGTAATCATCCTGCATAGCAGAAAGAAATAATTGGTCCTGTACTTTCTACCACTTAATATTAACCTGTCATTTGACTGAACTGAGTCTTATTTTCCCATGAACATACTCAGCTTTGTCTATCTCCATGCCTGTCTTTATGTAGTGCCCTTGCCTAAACATTCCCATTACATTATGAAAATTCCATTTCCATAGATCATTTCAAGTCTTGTCTCCTGGATAGAATCTTTTATGGCCGAATACTCCAAAACTCATCAGCTTTTTCAATTGCTTATCCTGTCATTTAGCTCTTAGCTGCTTATATGCTGTCTTGTTTCATTCACTGTTGTTTTCCCATGTAAACCTTATCTCCCCAAATTTATAATCTGTTGTATATTGACACAGTAGCTTTCTCACAGTCATTAGTGCTGAAGCATGTAGTGTGTATTCAAAGCATATTTATTAAAGAAGGCATAAAAATTAAGGGATTAGTTTAAATTCAACTTAATTATGCCATACTTATTTATCGTTTTTTTAAAAAACATAAGCTAAAAGATTTTGATAGAGAAATTCTGTTCTTAGCCACATAATACTATAATATATTGTTATTTACTGTTTTAATTTTGGTAGTTTGAGAAACCAAAGTAATGTGTTTTGTTTAATTTTAGCATTTCAGGAGTTTCTAAAGTAAAATTAATCATCTCTTCTTCCCTATCCATTTCCTTTTAGTCTGAACTCCTAATATAACTAGTGCTAATCGTTTAGGATGAATTCTTCTATAGATTTTCCTTCGTTAAAGAAAACAGACCAGGTGCAGTGGCTCATGACTATAATCCCAGCACTTTGGTAGGCTGTGGAGGATGGCTTGCTTGAGACCAGGAGTTTGAGACCAGCCTGGGTAACCTAGTGCAACTTGATTTCTGCAAAGTATTTTTAAATTAGCCTGGTGTAGTATTGCATGCCTGTAGTTCCAGCTACTTGGAAGGCTGAGGAGGGAGGATGACTTGAGCCCTGGAGTTTGAGGCTGCAATGAGCTATGAGCTATGGTTGTACCACTGTGCTCTAGCCTGGATGACAGAGTGACAGACCCTGTCAAAAAAATAAAAATAAATAAGTGAATGAATATGTACATAGAGAATTATTTTATTTTACTTTTTCATAAAAATGAAATCATACTATGTAACATTTTAATTTTTTTCACTTATAATAGTTTGGGGATCCTTCTAGATCAGAACATCAAGATCTTTTTAATAGATGCATATTATTTCATTAGTATTAACAGATAGATATATCATAATTTATTCAACCTTTCTTTTGGTGAAGTGTTCACAGTTTTTCATTTCTTCAGAGTACACATCCTTATACATTTATGTTATTGGTATACGTCTTATAGAGACATTCTCAAAAGTTCCATCTCTAGGTCTATGTGACAACACTTCTTTTTAACCTCAGCCGCAGAGGCAGGTTCCTCATGCTCCTCAGTCCATGACACAGTCACCCTTGGTCTGTGCAGCCCCATCCCCACTCCCACTCACCTCACCTAAAGCCTCGGCTCTGATGTGTCTTAGTGTACTTGACTATGTGTATATCTTTGGAATATATACATTTAAATTTTTAACAAATGCTGCCAAAGTAATTTTCCAAGTGGTTGGGGTAATTTAGAGAGTAGTTATTTCTCCACAAACTCATCAAAGATTGATATTATCAATCTTTAGCATTTTTGCCAATCTGAAGGGCAAAAAGAAAAAAAAAGGTATCCATTTGTTTTCAGTTTGCATTTTCTTGTCTTTTGGTGACATTGATGGTATGGCTCACAAAACCTAAAATGTTGACTATATGACTCTACAGAAAAAGTTTGCTAATCACTGCTTTAAAGCCAAAATACACAGCTGTAATACCTTTTCTCTTGAGGTAATTTTTAGAAAGTACTTCAGCATTTACAATTCAAGCCCTGTAATAGTGTAAAATATTGCCTGAACAAATGAACATTTTTACCAGTGTCAGTAGAATAGAATATAATGGAAAATATTAAATCTATTCAAATGGCATGAAACGGTCCCCTTCCTTTCAGATGGAAAAAGAAATAGTGCCCATAATATGCATAGGTAATTAATAGGTGATAGTACATTTAATGTTTATAAAATCAGAATTTTCTTAGTCAATAGTAAAAGCTCTTGCTTGTAAGTATGATTCTATTGACAGTATTATTTAATACTAGTTTAGTATCTTGACTCAAGGATGATACTGGCAGATGAGCTTTAAAATTGACCAGTTAATAGACAGCATGGGGAGAGTTTTGAGTTAAATAGTTAAATAGAATAATGGTTGGATAAATGTTTTGGTTAATTATCTGAGTCATCTGTTTTATTGTTCATCACCCACAACCATCACAGAGTAGAAATGAAAGGAGTCTCTCTTAGTTCATTTGTGTTGCTGTAACAGAATGCCACATAATGGATACTTTATAAAGAAAAGAAATTTCTTTCTCATAGCTCTGGAGGCTGGGTAGTTCAATATCAAGATGCCAACTTCTGGTAAGGGCAATCTTGCTGCATCACCCCATGACATAAAGCGAGGTCAAGAGAGCACACGCAAGAAAATAAGAGGGGGCCAAATATGCTTTTTATAACAAAGCCACTCTCGAGATAACTAACCCACTTTCACAAGAATTCATTTATGAGACCAGAGCCTAATCACCTCTTATCAAGCCACACCTCCCAACACTTTTGCATTGGGGATCAAGTTTCTAACACAGGAACTTCAGGAGACACATTCAAACTGTAGCAGAGTATTACTATTTGTAAGTAAGGTGCAGGAAAAACAAACTTTATGTTTTCCTTCTAGAAATTCCCATCCAAAAGTTACATGTGGGAATACAGGGAAAACCCTCGACTAGCCTAGAAACTTGGGAGCTAAGTGTTGAGTTTTGAAGACACAAATATGTTGTGCTGTTTTTGAATCAAGAAAACAATAAAACTTGTAAAGGTATTTTCCATATTATCTATCACATGTATGAGCAGTACAAAATATAAAATGATGTAAACCACTATGATATGAATCTTAGTGCCCCCCGCATCCTCTGCCAAAATTTATATGTTAAAATTCTAACCCTAAAGGTGGTAGTATTAGAAGATGGGGCCTTTAGGAGATGATTAGGTCATGAGGGCCCTCACGAATGGGATTAGTGCCCTTATAAAAGAGGCCCAAGGGAGCTTGTTCTACCCTTCTACCATGTGAAATCACAACAAAAAGATGGCCATCTAGGAAGCAGGCCT